CCTTCCCTGGTCCTTGCACAGGCTGGCCACCCGGGACCCGGGCGGCCCGGCTGGTAGCCTAGATAGCTACACAATTTAGCTGAACAAGTGGACCCGCCGCAGCGTCCTATGGGGAAGGGCGGAGGGGGGGGAAAGAGGGCAAGGAGAAGGCGGTGGAGGAGGGGGAGAGGAAGCGGGAGGCGGGTGAAAGAGTGCGAATGCGACCGACCGGCCTTCCGCCCTCTCAGTCCTTCACCGCCCCCTCTCTTCCCCTCTTTACTTCCTCCCGCCCGCATTGCCCCGACTCCCCACCCGCCGACGTGTGTGTGTGTGTGTGTGTGTGTGTGTGTGTGTGTGTGTGTGTGTGTGTGTGTGTGTGTGTGTGTGTGAGAGAGAGAGAGAGAGAGAGCGTCCCCGTCCACCCCTCCTCTGCCCCACCCCTCTCCTCCTTTCCCTCCTTCCGCTTTTCCAGAAAAAAAAGACCCGCGACGTGGCTAGCCACAGAGAGAGAGAGAGACTGACCTCCCGCTGCTCCACCACAACATTGTCCTCCTCCTAATCCTTCTCCCACTCCTCCTCCCGCTCCTCCTCCCTCTACTTCTCCCGTTTCCCCTCCTGCTGCTCGTCCCGCTCCTCCTGCTCCTCCTCATCCTCCTGCTGCTTCTCCTGCTCTTACCCCCTTCCTCCTCCCGCTCCTCTCGCTCCTCCTCCCGCTCCTTCTCTCGCTCCTCCTCCCGCTCCTTCTCTCGCTCCTCCTCCCGCTCCTTCTCCCCGCCTGCCTCCCTCCCCAACTGCACCCCGCCTTCCCTCCCGATCCCAATCCCGCTATCTACCCCTCCCGATCTCGACCACGGCTCTCTCCTCGCGATTGGCTTCCCCAATGCTTTCCCCGATCCCGTTCGAGATGTCGAAAGAGGTCGAGAGAGAGAGCGAGAGAGAGAGAGAGAGAGAGAGAGAGAGAGAGAGAGAGAGAGAGAGAGAGAGTTTTCCATCGATAGGATGAGCAACGCACCGGCCAACAGGTAAGTCTCCAACCCGTCGCCTCATGCTACTTCCATCGATAGGATGAGCAAAATCGAATGAATATTCCGCTAGAACATGGAAATATGCAGTACTACACTTCAGCGAAGCGACGGCATGGACGAGCGAGAGCAAGAGGGGAGGACGTAGCCTTTCTCCATCTCTCTGAGCCCGTGGCTGGAAAGCAGTGTATATTTCCATATTCTACTGGAAGATCCATTCCGATTTTGCTCATCCTGTCGATGGAAGTAGCCTCTCTCTATCTCTCTGCGTGCATGGCTGGAAAACTCTCTCTCTGTGTGTGTGTGTGTGTGTGTGTGTGTGTGTGTGTCTACTATGCCTGCCCATCGCCGCCTCACGCTGATTCAGCGAGCGCCTCATGGGCCCTGCGCCCAACCGCCATCCGCCTTCTGCCGCTCTGCTGCCTTTCCTGCACCCTGCCCCCTTCGGCCTCGGCTCCGTTTCGCCGCCCCCTCCCTACCTTTCCTCCAGCCTGTCCCATCCGTAAAGAATTTCGATGTGACCCTGAGGCAAAAGTTGTTCAGTTTATTTTTCTGCAAAACATAGTTTTTTTTCGGATTTTTTTTTTTTTTTTTTTTTTTTTTTTTTTTTTTTGGACCTTCCCTGGTCCTTCCTTGCACAGGCTGGCACCCGGGACCCGGGCGGCCCGGCTGGTAGCCTAGATAGCTACACAATTTAGCTGAAAATGCATTGAAGAGAGGACCCTCTGGTTACAAAAAAAAAAGAAAAAAAAAAAGAAAAGAAAAGAATGGTTTTGACAAACTGCAATTAACACTTACCACACTTGGGGCAATCGCCGGGGGAACGACATTATCTGACAATCTTGATGCCTTCATCCGTTTGGTTGATGTCTCTTTGATCTACTTCACGACAAGAACAAGGATTCAGAATCCTTATAAGTAAAATTACAATGGACCAATCAGCGCACGGTGGCAATAGATTTACTTCCAAGAAACCAGTTGCATATCCTGCAATAATCACGGGTAAAAGCACTGCCCTACCATCTCAGTAAAATGTCACAATATACCACACTCTTTAAATCACCACTCTCAAATTTTCCCACTGAATATACTTCAATCTGCACATAAACAAAGCACGACCTTCGGGGCTGGGCCTGCCAAAAGAAAATGGGTTGTGGCCAAGGGGAAAAGAAAAGAACAAAAATACACCTGTTTGCAAAACGTTTTGGTACACAATCGAACGAACTTAAAGTTCGGGCCAAAAAACTTTTAAGAAGTCCAGGAATTCAGTCAAAAAGTCTGAGTTTTACATACACGCTACAAGGTTACTGATTGGGGTGATCTCCAGGTCCAGACAACAAGCAATCTTTCACCCAGCCCAAGGTGGCTAAATGGCCATGACCTGCCCATAAACAGGCTTCAACTAGAATTCTGATAAAAAAGAAATAAGTCATAGATGGAGGATCACAACATATTTCCGCACTTCAGCCACATTAAATGTCACCCGGGGGCCGTGTGCGACTAGCCCGACCAGGCAGGAAACAACCTAGGAAATAAGGTAAATAACTCCAAATTAGTTCCAACTAATCCAAAAAGAAAAAAGGGAGCCAAAAAGTATTTTTTGCAAAATCTTATAAGTCTTAAACAAATTCATAAAAAAAAAAAAAAAAAAAAAAGTATATTGTGCAAAATTCCGATACAGAGAGTGAAATTATTAAATAGATCCAAATTGTAAAACCAAATCAGTGTAAATATGTAATAACAAGAAAGCATTCAGACTTGATGAATAACTGACCTCATCATGAACAAGTATTTCCCCGTGAAAAGAAAACTTCTGATGCAGAGTCGTTTCGGTAGAAATCGTAGTTTCAAGCAAGCCTGTTGCGAAGTCCCTACGCTTGTGTGTTGCTGTTTTTGACGTCTCTTCCTGAATCTCTCTAAAAGAAAATGAACCCATCACCCTGTCGGACGAGAATACAAGATACAGCTGTGAACATGTCCAAATATACGTGGTATTCAATACAATGAATAAAATATGATAACTATAGCTAGGCTACTTGGGTTGTCCGGTCATGCAGCACCGCCGTGCAGCCTGAAAAGTTGCTCCAGGATCACCTGCACGGGGCACCCCATGCAAGCAAAAATTAGCCCCTTCTCTTTTGTATTTTTGTTTTGGTGTGGCACCTCTGCGCCCACTTGGCTCTGTCTGAATCCGGGCTTTACACAACACTTTCAGGTTTCACCCAATTCAGCTCAAACAAACTCGAAACACAAGAAAACCAGACTGAAAAACACTCACAAAGGGTTGAAAACACAATCAGACAGACTCAAATGGAATCTAAATTTCCAACACCAGTTCAGATGAGCCTAAGTTCACGAAGCTACTTCCAAGGCTCGCGAGCCTCCAAATCGGACTTTTCATAGTGGCCTTCCACGTTCACCAACGACCCAGGCCCAAAATGGAAAGCTCTTACCGCGTATACTGGTAAGAGCTCAAGTCAGGCCCAGGTGAACTGGTGGTTTAATGAAAGCCTCTAAAACTGCCAGAGCTTTGCTAGAGAAGGATCTGCGGTAAGCGTTCAGAACTCACTGAAATTTGCTAGGTGAGGTTCTCTGGTATTCGTTCACTTTCTCTCTTTCACAGACATTCCCACAGTCAAGCTTTGTTTCCTCTGTCCAAGTATGTTGGATGTGGGAAAGGGGCACGCAAGAACAGAGAAACTAGTGGCTCAGGTGAAAAGGACATAAAAAAAGAAAGGAAGCAGACAACACAGAGAAGACTGTACTTGAAAAAGAGGCAACAAACAACACAGAGCAGAATGTGTTTGAAACAGACAATTCATTGAGAAGACTTCAACTTACTCAACTCTATACAGGCATAGAGTCGTGAGTTTCATTCCACTGTTCGCCACCATTGGTCTGATCCGCATGCAAACTGCTCTAAACACTCCCCAAATCAAAATTGTGTTGTGGTGATCGGCTGCACTGGCAGGGACACGCAGGGCAGGACTTAAAGACTCGCCTTACGACCCCAAAATCAATGTAAGATGTGCAGCAACAGCCTAGTCGCCAAAGGGATCTGGCATATTCATCAACCTGACTAGGACAAAGCATTGGTTCACAAATCGGGACTCCAAGTGAGCATTCAACGGCACTAAGGGCAATAAGACTTCATCAAGGCACAGATAGACCCGAGTCGTGATTTCAGGACAGACAAGATTTACCCAAAGGAGACAGCTGATAGAGAATGTGATCACCACACCCATCAGGAGGAAGGCATGTGACACACCTATTCCAGAAGCTAAGCACGACAGACGTTCTGAGAGGCAATAACGAACTCATATGGAGAAAGATGGGCACCTAATCGTCATCGCCTGACAATGTGTACACAAATATTGTGTACCCCTACGTGAATTTACGTGCATTCCGGGAGACATTACCACAGCCACGGAGGAAAAGAGGGGTGGAGACAGAGACAGGTCAAGTTATGACAATTAGTTCGTTCGTAAAGAAAACTGTATGTTCGTATAGACCTACGGTCACACAAACAGACGTATATATACAAACCCATAGAGACACAACCCTATGTTGCACATGATGAAGGATATTCAAGGAATGAGACAAGCCTAACTGAAAATGACCAAACTTTGTCTCTCGCGTGGGCTGTACCTGGCTTCCCCTCCCTGTTGGAAACAAACAAGCATTCAATTTGTCGCTCTTTTCCTCTGTGGTACTCGAGGGAAGTGCAAAACCACAGCTCTACCCACTCGCTAAGAAGTGCAAGGGCAATCTTCTAGAGTCAGGTTAGACCGACCGCGCACTCTCTCCGGCTTCTGCTTGTCGCGCTTTTCCTCTGTGGTATTCTACCCACCCTTCTGAATACAGCTTACGGCAGACAAGCCTGAAATAGGAGCAGCGGAGGAGTGAGACCGTACACATGGACTTTTGCAACAAAAGCTGGTTATGCTTACAACGAGACAGACCAGTGAATTACCGGTGGGATCAAAACTACAAGCCATTCAAACACACTTTCGCTCGTGCGAGCTTGGCCATTCCAGATGTGAGCTTGGCCATTCGAAATTGAGGAAAGGAACTACGACCGCCTACTTGTTCTCCTCCCGGTCAAAAAACGGACAAAACGAGAAATCTACACCAATCCAGTACACCCGCGAACTGAACGAACTTCATATCCTCTTTACCCGTTGAAATCGAACGAAACAAGAACTCCATAATAATGCAGTACTTTCCCAGGCAGAGAGGCCGTGGCAGAAAGCATAAATGAGGACTAGATCGATATAAAACCCATTTGAAAATAATAATAGGCTATCGGAAACAGGCAGACTTTCTGAAAATAATAATAGGCTATCGGAAACAGGCAGACTTTCTGCTTCGTCTCCGCTTGCTGTACACGACTGCATCGCCGCTGTTTACCTGCCTCTACGTAGAAAAGGGACAAGGCAAACAAAACATCACCCCATTGCCACACTCTACTGATCCGTTTCGAGGTTCATTGCATCTGCACATCCACCTCACGGCATATTTAACTTCGTCTACCTGGCCGTCTGCTACCGTCTACCGAAATAAAACGTCCGATCATTATCACTATATCATGACGGAACGTTGCACCGTATAAGGCTATAATGACAGACACACGGAACACTGGCGACGACACGTAGCGTCCATCTCGCGCGTAGTTCACCTCCATTTTGACAGAGACACGGAACACTGGCGACGACGCGCGTTTCTTTTCACACAAAACAACCTTCTACCGTCTTCACCCGAATAGAACGCCGAGTCACCATACCCGTATTTGGGTCAACCTTCACTATATATATACAACCATAATAACAGGGCGTTCTATTCATGCGAAGACGCTAGTCAGCACAGCAGATGCACAACAAATTGAGGCATCGCCCCTCCTTGGAATCCTGTCTCGTCTGAATAGGTCCTCGAATGCAGTCAAATGCATTCAAACCCATAAGGCCTGGCTGGTTCCCCTACTCGCCATCCATCCGCCACAAATCGTTGCGGAGAACCCCCAAAACACGATTTTATGAAACGTCTAAGGCATACCTTTCCATCTCCTCGCCATTTTGATTCCACAAGGAAGCAACACACTTTTGCATCGCCAACAGGTCACACTTGTGGAGGACAAGCACGTATGTCCCTCCACAAAATCGCCATCGAAGCAGGCTGGGAACCTCACGCTTTGTCGGCTAGACGACATGCATGATTCTGCATTCTGACGGATTCTTACCAACGGCGAGTAACTGGAACCATGCACCAACTCGCCAAAAACTCGATGGATGGCATGTAGTGAAACCAGGCCCTTATTCAGGATATCAGTACCTCGTCCTTCTACACCACCCCATTCTTCTCACGCTAAGTCTGCGGATCGATAGTAAGGATAGCTGGCAAAAACAGGCACGCTTCTGTAAGGATAGCCGACAAAAACGGCCACGCTTCTGAGACTACGAAGCTGACTAAAACAACCATCTCGACAGACTCGACAAAAAAGGCCACGCTTCAAAAAATGATTTGCTTGCAAAACAGAAAAGGAGCGAGCTAGTGAATCCTCCACTAGCTATCGTAGTGACTACTTAGTACTTCCCAATATGACCTTCATAACTAAAGATAGATTAACCAATGAGGCACAAATCCTCAACCTGGGGCGATAATGAAAAACAAAAAAAAAAAAAAACATTTTCGTTTTTCTGCATCGTAGTGAGTACTTAGAAAGGAGTGGGACCAATCGAACACTTCTTTTTTTTTTTTTGCTTCCACTTCCCCTTCTCCTGTTAACTTTCTTCGCGAGGAGAGCAGCACACCTTCACCGTCGATCCTGTTTGCGGTTAAATCAGAGCTCCCGCCGAGAGAGAGAGAGAGAGAGAGAGAGAGAGAGAGAGAGAGAGAGAGAGAGAGACGGGGAAACAGAGAGGCAGAAAAGAGGCAGAGGAAGAGACGAAGGCCAAGGAAGAAAGAGAGGCCGAGGAAGAAAGAGGCACAGGAACACAGAGAGAGAGAGAGAGAGAGAGAACTCATGACCTTGTCTGTAGAAATCGTAATGCAAGAACTTTGACTCCCATGAACGATGTTCGTGCATACTGAGAGACAGTAAAAGAGGGGCTCCCATGAAAGATGTTCGTGCATACTCAGAGACAGTAAAAGAGAGAGAGAGAGAGAGAGAGGAAGGGAGAGAGAGACTAAGGATTAAATGATGTATGGTTGTCATTAGCATCGCACCTGCCCTTCTTGACCCGAATACAGCGTACGGTTATTATTGCTGTATTTCGACGGAAAGATACTCCAAATACAGCTATACTGGCCGTACGTTGTGTTCGGGTGAAGAAGGGTGGCCTTGGCGGCCAGTTCTTCTTTCTTTTTCTCTTCCGAGAAAACTATCGGGTTCAAATTTCCAGGACTTCTCGATATGCAGTCGATCTCCGTGTGGCTTCAGTTGATATGCCGCCAAATATCTTAGACACCGAAACTGAGAAATCGACTACCACCACCACCATCATCATCATCGTCACCATCATGGATAGTCATCATCATCCTCATCGGTCATCGATCACAAATCATCAATCATCGATCATCATCATTTTCGCATCCTCCGACTGCCACATGGATCATCATCCTCATTGATCATCATATTCGCATCAATCATCCTATCCTCATCCTCATTGTCGTCATGGTCATCATCATCGTGTAATATCATCATCGATCGCTATCATCATGACCGATCATCATCATCATCATCATTATCATCGTTATCATCATCATCACTGACAGTGCTTATCTGAAGCAATCTTCGACAAACCACGACCGCCCCGTGCCTCCGATTCCAGCTATCGGAAAAGCGTTGAGGTAAGGATCGGGATTGGGATCCCGAGAGTTGTCGTTGCTGTCGCGTCTCTGTCAATCCTACCTCCTGCTCCCGCTGCTCCCACATGATGATGATGATGATGATGATGACGATTCGACGGGGATTGTCATCACCATCATCCTCATCATCATCATCATCATCCTCATCATCATCATCATCATCCTCATCATCATCATCGTTGTCATCATCGTCATCATCATCAGTGAGAGCAGCAGCAGCAAAGGAAGTAGCAGCCATCAGATCAATCACATCATCATCAGTGGGAGCAGCAGCAGCAAGGAAAGTAGCAGCCATCAGATCAATCACACCGGTGATGACAATCATGATGATGATGATGACGATGATCGGCCGATCGATCAGGCGGGCCGAAGTACACATAGCAGATATTAATGCATCAGCGTAATACACCACACAATCATCACGATCACCGTCAAGAAACAGCCCATCGCCGTCGTCGTGCTCGTCAAATTCGAAAATGATCAGACCTGCCGGGGTGTGCTGCCGCCGGCCACGTGGCAGCTTCTCCTGCCCGCCACGTGCACGCGCGTTCATTACTCCACCCCATCGAATCGATCAGACGGCGCATACGAAGACCCACTGGCTAACAGATCGATCGGACGACGCTGAGGAAAGACCGACAGTCGAATCGATCTAATCACGTGGCGATGAGAACCGATATCTGGACGTGACTGCGGTCAGATACATCCAGACCGGGCAGTCTGAGGACCAACGACCACTTAATCGATCAATCGATCGGGAAGCGATGCGACGGTGCTGAGGGAGCACTCAATTTCTCGTGCCACGACGACGTGAACGCAAGCATCAATCATAAGGCGCCACGTGGCAGATATGACCATGCCACGTGAAGGACATGGTCATGCCACGTGGCAGATATGGTCATGCCACGTGGCGGATATGGTCATCATGATGCCTTATTCAGCCAACATACCCACCCAACCCCTCTCTCCTCCCTTCCCCCTCCATCCATCCATCCATCCATCTGTCTAATCAATCATTGATAGGATTTCACGGCAAAGCGTACTGCATGCCAAGAACGCAATCATTCGTGTATAATAAGGTCCAAGGGGGGGTGTATATGATAAGGTCCCTGGTTCATTTTGGCAGAAACAGCCGAGGCATGCCATTTCCTTTTTTGGTTGTCTTCTGTCTGTTTAGGCATTGGCACTTTTCTTCTCGTTTTGGAAAGCCAAAAAAGAAGGACAAAAAAGGTGCTCTTCTTTTCCTAATGATGGGTCCCGCATCCGAAAACCACGTTATTCGCCGTATCCGCGACTCACTTTACGTGGCAAAACCACCGAAGGAGGGAGACACAGGGGTCAAGGAAGAGGGCGGGGTAGGGAGGGATCGGGAGGAACCGGGGAGAGCGTGAGAGAGGCCATAGCAGAATGCAAAGGTGTCCCACTGAATCTTCCGCTTGAATATGGACAAACAGCCTGCGCGAAGTTCATGGGAACCATCGTTTGCTGAGCAAGCAGATCACCACAACCAAACAAAAAGGGACAGAGCGAGAGAGATACACAAAATGATCGACAAGAGCACAGTTGACAAGCGAGGTGAAAAACTAACATCTACGCACCATCTTCTCTCTCTCTCTCTCTCTCTCTCTCTCTCTCTCTCTCTCTCTCTCTCTCTCTCTCTCTCTCTCTCTCTCTCTCACACACACACACACACA